AGGAGGAAGAAGAGGAGGGGGGAAGGGAGGAGGAGAGGGGGAAGAGGGGGAGGAGGGGGAGGGGAGGAGGAGAAGTTCTCCATATAGTTTGGAAAATAATTCCTTTTCTTTATTTTGGTTTTTGTTTTTGAGACAGGATCTCACTATGTAGTTCAGACTGGCCTTGAACTCACTGTGTACCCCAGACTGACTGGCCTCAGACTCTCAGTGATCCTTCTGCCTCTGCCTCTGGAGTGCTGGGATTACAGGCATGCCCCACCACATCCGGCCTGGAAAATAATTCCCTATCAGAGACATGATTTACAAATACTTTCTCATTCTTTGGTTTTTATGCCTTTTTGCTCTTTTATGATTTTGCTTTGATTTGCCATGCTGTTGATTAAACCCCAGGGCCCTACCTGTGTTATGCAAGCACTCTGCCACTGAGTTATGTCCCCAGCCCTGTTTATTTTTTGAGACAGGTTCTCACTAAGCTGCCCGGGCAGGCCTCAAACTTGTGATCCTCCTGCCTCAGCCTCCCAAGTCGGTGGGACAACAAACATTCTATTTGACGGTTCTCGTTTACGTGTTTTTAGTGGTTAATTCCCCCTCAAACATTAAAGTAATGGGAGAAAAAAACATTGAAAAATTTAAAAGTGGCTGGGCATGGTGGCTCACACCTGCAATCCCAGGACTTGGGAGGCCAAAGCAAGAAGATCGCTGTGAGTTTGAGGACAGCCTGGGCTACAGAATGAGCTCAAGGTTGGTCTGGACTGCATAGGGAGATCCTGTCTCAAAAAAAAAAAAAAAAAAAAAAGTAAGTTTATTTAAGACTCAATTTATTTTCACCCTGTGCTGGCAGGTACTCTACCACTGAGCTATATCCCCAGCCCAAACTCACATTATTTATTTATTTGCTTTTTTGAGACAGGTCTGGCTGTGTAGTTCAGACTGGCCTTGAATTCACTGTGTAACCCAGGTTGCCCTCAAATTTATGGTGATCCTCCTGCCTCAGCCTCCTAATACTGGGATTACAAGTATGGGCCACCATTCCTGGCTTAAACACATTACATTACAGTATCTTAAGCTTACACATTTTATTCCTACCTAAAATTGACTTCATTTTATTTATTTTTTATTTTTTGGTATGGGAATTGAACTCAGGACCTTGCATTTTCCAGGCAGGTGCTGTGCTGCTGAGCTATATCCCTGGCCCAAACTGAATTTATTATAATTTTATTTTCCTGGCTTTAGTGGAAACAAAAGTCATCAATAGTATTTTTGAAATCTGTTTTGGGAAAAAATAATCATTATAAGTTTTCATAAGAACAGATACATAGGGGCACATACTTTTCCTGGGGGCCAATGTGGGCATGGGGGAGGAGAGGAATGGACCAGGAGACTCCAGGGCAGATGCCGATGTCCTCAATACCCGCAGAGCCAGGGCCTGTGAAGCCGGGACTCCGCCTCACGGCTGAGCAGCCACATGTGACACTGTACCGGCCGGGCTCGCAGAGGGTTTGGACAAGCTGAGTCTGCAGGGTCTGCGGCCGCTTGAGGGAGACGTCTGGGAGGCAGCAGGTCCTCCGAGTGGAGCAGAGGCACGCTGTGGAAGCACCCTCAGGATCCAGGAACCTGCAGGAAGCCGCTGGGGGGACACACGAGGAACATGAGGTGCTCAGGGAGCCAAGGACACACAGTGGCCACACGGCCCCGTTCAGAGCCTGAGGGGCGGACCGGGCTTGGCCAGTGGCGTGAGCCTGCTGGTGGTCTCGGGCCTGGCTGCGCTGGAGCGGTTCATCTGGAGTGAAATGAGACAGGCCGGAGCGGGCGGGGGTGAGACAGAGGACGGAAGGCTGTGAGGAGTTGGCAGTATTGG